ATTTATAGGCAAAACTCAGATGCACGAAATGGTGTCAAAGCATGAGTCAAAGGTCATCAAATTTGAATCACAAACAGTCAAAAAGGCTACAAAACGGTCGGATTTCACTACTATGCGACCGCATGGTGCAACTCCATATGGTCGCATGGAGTATTTTACTCACGGGACTTTTGTCCCTGTATATGGCCATGCGACCGCATGGCCATTTTGCCTATGCGGTCGCATGGCACAAACCGTTTCTCTTTTTTTTTTTTTTTTTCTTTTTAACTTTGAACAACAATTTCAGCACTTCATGGCTCAAGAAGAGATGATTAACATACAATTTTCTTTATTTTTTCTGTCTTTCTAAACTCACGTATCAACCGCACCAATTATCTTGATTGTCCGCATCTTATTCTATAAGGGGGTGTGCAAGTATGTGTAGAGAAAAAAGTATAACCTAACTGCAATAAGTCTCTAACGTATATAGAATTCGTTATACTCTATACCACATTGATATGTAACATGCATGTGGCAGCAATATGCCAGGAAAAAGGGTCTCCACCATGCCTCTCAGGACCTCTTTGGGCCTCTCAACGAGACTCCTCGAAGCCTTTTCGAACTCCTCTGAGGCTATGTATCTCATCATTGCTTTGCCTTCTCTGCAACCTCTCTGAACCCTCTCCAATATTTTATTGACTTAAACGTTCAGGCACTTACAATCGTGACCTTCCTTGCCTTGCCTAGAGAAGTTAGTGTCTACTCTTCTAATGTGTGTGTCCCAATGTATATATAACATACATGTGGAGTAGAAAGGAGATATGATATGTTAACGCGCTTGGTCGTAAACAGATTCTGAAATTAACATAAATCACTTTCCTAATTGCAACAAATGTCTCGTTTCATAATGAAAGAGATTTTTTTTTTTAATTACCTTATTAATATTTTATTTTCATTATCAAAAAAATTCTTTTTCCGCTTTGTAATAGGAGTGTTTTTTTTTCTTTTTTTTAAACGACACAAGTACGAAATCATAATCAGGTAATACAATAAATAAAATGGCACATATATTAGGACACAAGAATATTCAAAAGATTCTCTATTATTAAAGAGTATATTTATTATGTGGAGAGCATCTATAAATTTAGAAAATTAAAATTTTCAAGTACTCCAACAAACTGTTTATATTTAACACTTAATTTTACTACTCTCAAAAAATATTTATTTATTTTTCTCTGTCTTTTATTTTAGTTAGCTTTTTTTTAGATTATTTTATTATTTTCTTATAATAAAATTTGAAACACTTTGAATGCATTTGATTATAGAGAGTGAACCCACTCTCTAAATTATAGTGTTAATTTAAAAGTTTCTTAAAGAATGATTTTAATAGTTGACTCCTTAAACCAAAAAGATTTTCATATTTAAAGAGTTTCTTGAAAATACTCTTAAATGTTTGAAATGAGTTGGTTGCCCACCAACTCCCACCCTTAAAAATGTGGTTAATAGTCAATTTCATTTGGTCATGTGCAAAATCTATAGACATCAATTTCATTTGTCAACTTCAATTTAGTTCCTCATCAAAGCAAAAGTAACACGACATGAAGTTATTAAAGTGATATTTACATTATAGATTCTCAATTTATACGAAAGGTAGTATTCATATCATCAACATTTTTTCAAGTATCTAAGTTCTTAACTTTTTAAATTTGTATTACTTAAATACTTGTGCAATGTCTCTTCCTTTTGGATGGTATTCATCCAAAATTCCTGCACGTGACCTAAATTGAATGTTTGAGGACGAAAAAATTCACAAAAACCTAAAAATAGGACTGAGATGCTTCTTGGGGTAATGTTTGGAACTTCAGCTGCAAATTTCTCAGTTGAACATATATTCTACAAATATCTCTATATTTAAATTTCAATTCTTCAAAGGCAACCTAAAATTCTCTAATACCTTCAACATTTTGTCTTTTTTTTTTAATGATCTTTAGGCTTAACTATGATCTTTCACACAAAATTAATAGTGTGTTTAAGACTTTAAGGTATAAAGTGAGTTTAGTATAATTTCCATGTCCAAGTTTTCTTGTTTTAGATATAGGGTCCTAGGGTTTGGTGACCTTCCTAGAAACTCTATAATGCCAGGGATGAAGAAAATAGAAAGTGAATCTTTGAAAATTTGGAAGTAACAAAAATATATAACAAGAATTATATGGACTTTTAAAGAAGCAAAAAAGAAGGCATGTACAACAAGATTTCATAAAATGTTGTGAAAATCTTGACGTGTTATTCGTTCAAGAAAGTCGATTATGAACTTTCAAAAATTTGAAATTAATAAATATGTATTAAAAAAAGGGGACTTTAGAAGAATTGGAAAGAAAAATAAAAATTATAAAAAGCATTCTTTGACGGTCTTGAATTTCTTGATTAAAAAGTTCTGGCTAGAAATGGGTGTTGAGGGACCTTCCAATGACTTTGTGGGTTGGAATTGGAAAACTTTCTTCAAAGTATTAAAGTTCACACTTCCACTTGCAGTCGCTTATTACCCTAGTCGTTCTACGTGATATACATGTGACGATTAATAATTTGATGCATAAGACACTAAAAAAACTACCACATTAATATATCAAATCACTAACAACTGCACATATATCACATAGGACGACTATAATAGTGAGCGACTGCAAATAACACTACTCATTAATTAATTGATCTTTCACATTTAGAATTATGAACTTGTATATTTATTGTTTTTAGATTGAAAAATTAGGTCCCTCCAACCCTTCTGCTTTTCGCCACCTTTACACAAGTGTGTGCTTTCCTTTTTAATGATATAATTTGTTCTATCTCTCAACTTCCATTAGTTCTTCTACTGAGCCGAGCTGGGTGTACAGAATCCCAGCTCACAGACCTCTTACAGAGATCTCACGCATGGATGAGGTCTGAATTTTTTTTGTCATTTTTTATTACATCGGGTCTCGCAGTGGAGCCGACCTTTGTGAAACTTCCGATTTTCTTCTGTAAGAACAATTTTGTACAATCAGAATTGTTCTTTCCTATTTGCCAAACCTATTGCCTCCATTTGTCCCACCGACGCCTAGGTCGGAGGAAACCAAAGAAAAGGAAGAATGTTTTTTTATTTCATTTATGTTGTGTTAATATGAATAGTAATATGTTTAATTAAAAATTAAAAGGGTCATAAAATATATTTCAAAGCTCAAGTGTATGAAATTGAAAGGTTGGAGACTTCATTTTAAAATAATTTTTCAAGGACTTGGGGATTCCATAACGCAAATATTAGGAACATGCCCTACAAAAGAGATTCTTGTAATCTCATTGTAATCTTTAATTAAGACTTGGTAATCCGGTCCCACCATAATCTTAAAAATTATTCTTAAAATAAAATTATTAAAACCGACTATCAGTTACATATTATTTTTAAAAAGCTAGGATTACCATAATCTAAAAAAACATTCTTAAAATAAAATTATTAAAACAAACTTTCAGTTACATATAGGTTTTTTAAAAAGTTAAAGATAGTTTTAGTTAAAGGACTAAGGTAATCCCACCATAATCTTAAAAATTAAGCTTGAGATTTTAAAATAAATTTTAATGCCTGGCCAAATATTCTTATATTAATTAACATATGATTCGAAAAGGGATTTGTTTGGTTGCATAAACAGTGTACTCTTAAGAGAATCCAATAAATTCAAGAAAAGATATTCGCTAACTTTTACAGTTAAATATTAAAGCACCGACAAAGGAAAAATAAGAACCAGATCATATGTTGATAGTGATTGGATGAATATCGTAATTTTTAAAATTTTAGAAATTGTATTAGCGATGTATTAAAGTATGATGAATATATAAAATTTGTGTGAATTTATAATGTTTAAATGAGTGAATTTAATAAGGACAATATTGAAATTTGACGGGAATGAAATTAGTAATTTTGTTTAAAAGATTAATATTTTAATAGTAATGTATATAGAGTATGATGAATATATATAAAAAATGTGCATGTAAATAACGGCATCCTTTATAAATTGATGTGGATTAATTGATTCAATTTTGACGTGTTCTTCATGGATAACATTTTTCACATGTATCATGTTATATTTAGTTTCCTACTTTTTATTTCCATACAATCTTGATGAAAAAGTATCACTTATTTTCAAAGTCCTAAACAGTGGAATTTTACCAAAAAAAGGTTGAACATCAAGGCAAAGCCTTGTGTTTTGCTTATTGAGCCATTTTCATTCAAAATACATCGAAAATTCTCCAAAAACATATACTCTGCAAAATTAAGCTCCAATCCCTTTTGTCACCTTCTTTCCCGTCCCTTTTTGCTCGAACCCCTACGACGTTCTCTCAATCCTTGTCCATCCCAATTTCAAGCAATAAAAGAAAAAGATTGTTTGAATAAAACTTGGCTTAACTCTTTAAGAGAGTACATGAGAAGCCAGTTTGACAAGTTCGTTCTCAATTTAACCTCATTACGATTGATTTGATTAGTATGAAAAATATGAATACATTCTAAAACAATGACCTTTGAAGATGTTTTACAAATGTGAAAACTCATCCAAAGGTCATTTAGTAAAAAATGTCCAAATAGAACAATACCATAACCCTAGATGACATAATTATTTTGTATTGCATTTTATTTCTAACAGAAAGGTTAACTTCTGTTTGATAGACATTAAAGTTTAGATTTTAATTTAAATCAAAGTCAATATTTAATTTTAGTCATATATTTTCATGATACCCACAACTTTCCAGTCATACATTTCATCGTCAATCAAATGCTAGAATTTTAGGAAAAATAATTACTTCATTTTGCTATAATTGTTGAATACTCATAATTAAAAGTATGGAGAAAGGAGGGGTTTTGCTTTGAAGTACTCTCTCAATTCAACGACCAGAAGAAGAGAGTTCCTTGTTCGACACGTCTCCTATGACCCCTCAAACTCTATAAATTCACTCCTTTCGCCTCTAGTTTTCTTCTTCATCTTCCTCTCTCTCTTCCGCTCTCCTTTCGGTTACAACAAATTTTCCTGTTTCTAGTTTCTGGTTTTCTCAAGAGCTGTATTTATTTTGGGGTAGATTTATGTTCCTCTCTCATTTTCCCTTCGAAACTCCATTCTTTCTCCTCTTTTCCTTTTTCTTGATGGAAACTTTTTGAATGTAATTGTCTCTTTCAGGCTGAGAATCATTTTCTAATATCTTGGAAAAACAATCAGGTACGAGCTTTAGCTTTCCTTTTGTATAAATCTTATCTTGCAATGCTATTGGAATTCCAGAAAAGAGAATTTTTTCTAATACCCTTTTTTCTTTTTTTAATGGAGATCTGTAGAATCACCCGATGCCTGTTCTTTCGATTTATTTTTTATTTTTATCTTATTAAGGTTGAAAAACTTTTGCCTTTTGGCCTTTCCTTTATGGGTTTTCTTTTAGAATTTATTAAAATTTTGGTTCAATTCTGAGGGGGTATTCTATGAAACCAAAGAATAAATCTGATATAAAATAGAATTAAGCCAACTGAACATAGGTTTTGACACAATGGGTGACATAGCACTCACAATCGAACTGTGGTTCTCCATGAATAAAATAATCCCGACCTCCCCCATATGTGTGTGCTATGTCAACCGAAGTGTCATTCTCTATGGCTATGTAGCACGGTCCTATAAAATATATACGTATTTATGTTGAAGTACATCTGGTGATTGGATGGAACAATTATTTATTCGATATTCGTCAGTTATTTAATGTTAATACATGATTTTACCGGTTGCTGTAAGCCTGTTAGATGTTGAAATATTGATTGTCTTAATCAGTTTTGGAGGTTTACTCGAAAAATGGTAATAATTTATAGTGTCACAAGATTCTTTGTCTGGTTATCAACGCCCTTCAAACAGCATTCTCTTGACATCATTCTATTCGACCCCTTTAGATCAAAACGACAGGTTCGAGGTATATGAAGCCAAATGATCATGATTTTTTTTTTTTTTTTGTCATTCTTTTTTCAAGGGAAGTAGGAGGGTTTTCCGTTTCTTGATCCCGCTTTCATGCTGGTTGAAATTTTTATGAGTGAAATTTCCGTGCAAAATATTCATCGTGGAAACGGATTAAACGGTTGAATTTGCTTTCGTCGGAATGAATTAAAAATTCTAGTTATCTTTCTATGGTTTTTAGATGATTGTTTTGTAAAATATTGAGATATTTTAAAATCATTATACTATACTAGTAATTTTTTTGGTAGTTTTTCGCGTATTTGAATCTTGTTCCTTTTCTGTTCGGTACCTTGAACAAGTGCATGTTTTTTCTTTTTCTTTTTCTTTATTAAAACACTTGTCTTGTGGCTAGGTGGGGATTATGGATTATGAAAAAAATTATCTTTTATTATGATTTAATTAAGTTTAAAGATGGTTGAAAAGACTTCCCATAGTGAAACTCTCTCTCTCTCTCTCACACGCACACACGTTTTTCACACATACCCACACACATATGTGATGTAGACAACAAATTATTTAGATGTTAGTTGTAAAGTCATGTCCTTACGGTAACAAGAAGTTTTTTCAAGCTTGCTACATGTACGTTCAATTTTACATTAACTTTGACATCTTTTTATGTGGCAGCTATTATAGCCTTTGATTTTTCGAACACTCTTTTATATCACTGGCCAGATTTTGACACATATGAAGAATGTCGTCCATGATGTAAACAAAAATGTACATCTAGAATAATTCAAGTTTTTTATGGTGCAAATGCATTAAGATATAACCCTTGTTTTAGTCCCATTTCTTTTCATAAAAATGCATTTTGAATTGTGTATTAATGATAGTAATGTGGTTAAAAAATAAGAAAAATTTTTAAATTTGCATGTGATATTATTTTATTTGAGAATGTGTGATTGAAATGATGTCAAAATCTTGAAAGGTAGTTCAGTGGTCAAGTTTTGGATTTGCTCCCCAAGGTTACCAGTTCAAGTCCCGTCAGGGCCATTAACGTGAGTACTTGACTGTAAATTTTAGGGTCTCGTGAAATTAGTTGAAGTGCACGTAACTTGGTCTAAACACCTACGGTCATAAAAAAACACGGTTAAATAACGTATTTTTTTTTCAAAATATAGGGCTCAAACCGGGCCATAATGAAAGTTGGATGAGTTAGATCCACAAGAGCCATTAACTTTTTTTTTTTTTCTTCTTTTCTTTTTTTTTTTTTCACCATGCACAATGCAATAAAAAGATCGCAAAAATGTTTTATATAGTTGCCCTAGGCCTTATCAGTCCTTTCTTTTTATCCATGGAGAAAATCGATGAACTTGTTCTTTACTGTTTAGCATGTTTAGTAGTGATCGAAGGCAAGTCATACTTTCGTTAGCAAAACTTACTTTTTTTGTAGTTAAGAGCATTTTCAATAGATTCTAGATTTTTGAAGAACATATTTTATTATTTGGAGAGCATCTATAACTTTAGAGAGTTAAAATTGAAGTATTCAAACAAATTATTCATATTTAACACTTAATTTTACTACTTCCAAAAAATATATTTTTTTTTATCTCTATCTTTATTTTAATTAACTTTTCTTTAGATTATTTTATTATTTTCCAATATTGAAAATTAAAATATTTTGAATACATTTAATTATAGAAAGTGAATCTCTCTAAATTAAATGTTAATTTAAAGAGTTTTTTTGAGCATATTTTTAAAAGTTAACTATTTAAAATAGAGAGTATCTCATGTTTAAAGAGTTTTTTGGAGATACTGTAAATCTTTAACTCCTTTTTCAGAAAAGTAACTTTCAAGCACAAAACACGTGCTTTTTTTGATGAACTTGTTCTTGCCAAAGTTTAATCCTCCTGGTTTAAGCCAAAAGAGTCACTCCTTTGAACTTTTTTCGACCTAGCTTCTGAAGCCATTTATTTACTTTACTACACACTAATTTTTTTATTATTTAAGCTGTGATTTTACTTTGATGAGACATTTAATAGTGTGATTAAACCATTGTGAATTATCAAGGTTTTTGATTGTCGGAATCTTTTGTCTTTTTATTCTTTGTATTGCGGCAAAAGTAACAATTACTATGTGGTGACATAATATATCGTTTTGCGCATCATGAGAAGCGTCTTTAACCGAAATTGTTAAGTGGATTGCGTAACATTACCAAACTTTCTCACATCATGGTAGTATTCATAACGCTTGAGAAGTTTGTAATACAATTCTAATTTTAATTCCCTTCTCGGAAAAACCTGTCTCTCTTTAAGATCACTTTGATTTAGAAGCTTGTCATTTACCGCTTCCTTGCTTTAATTTCTGTATAAAAGGTCACAAGTATGACCTTAATTTTAAGGTTTGAAAATGGCTCCTTCAGGAGGAAATAAAATGTTTCATCATTTCTACTGTTAGTTCGATCTCATGATAGATGTTCTAATATCAGATAAGTTTTCTATTAATTTGCTGTTAAATTTAAATGCATTTGAACACTTTATTTATTTTGACAGTTTACTCTTTTCCACTTATTTTAAAGAATCTCTCAATTTCATATAATTTGTTTTTCACATTTCAGGAGAAAAAATGTAGTGAGGCTGCATGCCATCAATAACCCAAGATTTTCTGCACGAAAATGCTTCTTTTCTTTGTATAAATGCATTGCGGCTATGAAGATGAGGTATTGTGAGGTTTTTTTTTTTTTTTTTGTGAAAATTTGACTGATTTTTCCAGTATGATATTCAACCTCTTACTTTATTATCAGATTTTTCGAATTTTCTTCTTGATGGACTGCTCGTTCAACAACAGCGACAAAAAGACATTAAAGAGGTGGTTTTTCATTGATAAAAGGGTTGGGTAGAACGTCGTTCAGTACTTAGTGTCAGGTCTTTTCTGTAGTAATCCATGTCATCGAGTTATTTTTAGTCATGACTCCAATGGACGTGAAATCGACAAAAACTTCTCCGGTTCTTGCTGATTCTGCACCTATAAATAAGTCCCGACTTGGGATACATTCTAGTCGCTTGCCGTATTCACAAGCCGGTCCCACATCTTCAAATAACATTCTGACAATTTTGAGGAAGAAACGTGGAAATTTTGATGATGTTTGGACCAATGGTTGGCTTGACGCGATGAGATCATCATCACCTCCTAGAAAAAATATTCTTCAGAATTTCACCAGTGGGGAGGTTGCTTCTGATGATGGAGATATTGCTCATCGTGCTTGGATGGTATGTTTATTATCCTAAGATGCAAGAAAATTTCTCTCTTTTCAATCTTATTGATATAAATATTCTTGTCTGTCTTTTGCTTTGAAGACTAAGTATCCATCAGCCCTTAGTTCCTTCAGACAAATCATGGACTGTGCAAAGAATAGGAAGTTAGTGGTGTTTTTAGATTATGATGGAACTCTTTCTCCAATCGTAGATAATCCTGATCGTGCTTTTATGTCTGCTGAGGTAAGTAACTCTTGTGCACGAGAATATTTCCTTCATAATTTCGATCTGCCTGTTAATGTACTACAAGGAAGTACTTTTCCAGATGCGTTGTGCTGTTAAGAGTGTGGCAAAATATTTCCCAACAGCCATTATCAGTGGAAGAAGCCGAGATAAGGTGGATGCAGAAAGTTTTCCCGTTAGGCATCTTACTACAGCAATATCAGGTCTCTACTATTTTGATTGGATTAATTTAATTTTCTTTCTCAGGTTTATGGATTGGTAAGACTAAAAGAACTCTACTATGCTGGTAGTCATGGTATGGACATCATGTTCCCGGCTGAAGAGATTCCATCCGGAGACCGTTCAATTTCTACAAAATCTACTGACCAACAGGTACTGCTATGGTAACTTCTGACTTGCTCATTTGTTTTCACGAGTGTACATGGTGATTCTTGCTTCTTGTACAATGTGAATTTGTAAGGCGTAATCCCAATCTCTTAAGCAATAATGAATGAAATGAAGAACAGAAATACATGCACAGATCAACACAGATTTATAGTCGTTAGGTAAAAATGTGAGAGTGCTACTTCCACTGTCGCTGCAGATTTTTCACTATTATAAAGTAGGATATTACAAGGTTTTTCTCATACCTCTCTCTTACGAAACGAAGGCAACCTAATACAGAAATTACGATTATCTAATGCCCAATATACCCACTTAATAAAAGAAATTGCCGAACTAGGTCAATCTGCATTCAAGAGGATGAAGAACAGTGTAATTAGACTCCACCCAGTCCAATATCTACTACATATTTTTCTTGATCTGATTGTTGTCTTAGTCTATTAGATCACTCTTTCTATTGATGTACATTTTATATGTATAGGGCAAGGAAGTGAATCTGTTCCAGCCTGCTAGCGAGTTTTTACCAATGATCAACGAGGTTTGGGGGGTTATGTGCCATTTAGAAACTTGGTTTCAAAGAATATCTGTTGTATTATTGAATTATTTTGTTTTTCCAGGTTTTTAAAACCCTTGTTGAGATTACTAATGTAAAGGGTGCCAAAGTAGAGAATCACAAATTCTGCGTCTCTGTACATTATCGTAACGTAGATGAAAATGTAATTATCGATTATCCTCTTTCGTCTAGTGTAATTGAATACCTTGAAATGCGATCATCTTTTTTGGCTAATAATATAACGATTTTCTTTTGCATTGTAACTCCCAGAGTTGGCCTATAGTTGCACAGTTTGTTTATGATGTCTTGAAAGAGTACCCTCGACTCCGAATAACTCACGGACGAAAGGTGATATACTCCACTACCTTTGTGTACCATGATTACTTTGCCTTCTCATTTATGTTGAATATGATGTTCCTACGTAATGTCTCCATTTTTTCCTATTTAGGTTTTAGAGGTTCGTCCCGTGATCGACTGGGATAAAGGAAAAGCAGTTGAATTTCTGCTTGAATCCCTAGGTTAGTACTTAATATATTTGAACACAAATCTTACAAAGTTCTGTAATATTAGTGAATAATTACAGATAATACTGTAGGATTTACTACTAATCAAGATGTTCTCCCAATCTACATTGGAGATGACAGAACTGATGAAGATGCATTTAAGGTATTACGTCTGTGATATCTCGTTAAGCTTTATATTCCTGCATTTACGATTCTGTTTTATAAGGTGTGTACCTATATTTCAGGTGTTGCGGTCAGGAAATCGAGGTTATGGAATTCTTGTATCTGCTGTACCGAAAGAAACCAATGCTTTCTTTTCTCTGAGGGATCCTTCAGAGGTGAAAATCGGATTGCAACCATGTTTATTTTTACGTTACTTTTCGTGTTAATCGAAGCTGAAACTTTCTTAACCAAATGCAAAACTATGTCCAGGTCAAGAAATTCCTCGAGTCTCTGGTGAGAATGAAGCAATAGCTGCAGATTTAGGGAATGATCTTAGAACGGCTGAGTAACGTGTTCACAGTAATTACTAATTACTGTCTCTGTAGCATTTCTCGTACATATGAAAAATGATAAACAGCCAACTCAAAATCAGGGAATAAAAATAGGCTGATGTGGCAACAAGTTGGATTTTTTTTTTTATTTTTTTTTTAAGCTCTCCAATCAGGCATTGACGTGTGTGTAGCCTGTTTTTAACCCAGTTTTTCAGCTTTTTTGGAAGCATTTCTCAGTACATATTTAAAGGTTGAACTCTAGCCTTGAAAGCCTCCACCGCCCCAACTTTAAAGTCTAGTGAGAGAGATAAATCACGGGATGTGCCCTAACAAGTCAAAAAACAAGAGTTGCATGTACACTGCGCCTACTAGGAGTTCAATTCCATATCTCAGAAATCGAACCCCCATGCTGCAATTGCCAGCAAGGCGTGAGATAATCTTACTCCTATCCTTTGCACCATTGAATTATGTCCCGGGGGGCATTTCTCGGTACATATTTTATCTTGGACTATATGTCACGTGAATAAGCTTCTGAATTTATTAGTTCTTTTATTTTTATTAGTGAAAGAATTTTCTTTTGCATTTTATGGAGCTTTAGTTCTGCTGTTCTTTCCCTCCATTTTCTTGATGGAAGAAGAAGTTTATTTTTAAATCATTGCATTAAAGTCCAAATCTACCCACAGTAGGAATATTCGTTAAATATCGCTACGTATTTTCGTTCCAAAGCTCCACACCTTTTGTTCCTCAATCCTACACGAAAGGAATAAGGGGCGTCTAACGTTGTTCCTCCAAAACTTGAGCTAGAAGAGAATTTAGCAAATACTACACACACACACTTGACCGTCTATCTTGGGCGTTAAGATCGTCGTGACATCTCTTGGTGAGGTAGTTCATACATGAACATTTGACATTAGACCACCAAGATCCAATATTGGAAAATCATATTATTTCATAATTATCTTTTCCATGTTTTTTTTTTAATTTTTTTATGACTGTAGGTGTTCAAGCCAACTTACGCGCACATCAACTAATCCCACGGGCCTTGAAATTTATAGCCCTTTTCCACGTGTTTATTATGATTATATCCCCGCTTGGTTTAAATTCAAATTAAAGTCAACAATTAATTTTAATCATATATTTCATGAGATTCACAATTTTTAACTTCACATTTTATCAACTTTTACTAAAATCTATTAAAAATCTAATTTTAATTTACACCAAACAAGAACTATATTGAAATAATATAACAAACAATTTATGGTTAACGCATAAAAATCGGATCTTTATTGAAACAACATAACAATAAACTTACGGTTAACACATCAATCTAACCACGTTGTACTGAGAGGTGGCCGGAGGTGGCCTTTCTATCGAAAATATGGTAGATTAATAATAGTGTGTTACCTATAAAGATGTGCTTTTTTGGAGATATCATTGGCACTTGAACATCACGTGGTGAGGCAAAGGTCATCCGCCCAAAAAAAAAGTCCAACAATGGACCAAACCCAGGCCCATGACAGATTACTTGATTAAATAGTCAATCCAATTGATTATGATATTGAGTCAATCAATGTGGCTCGCAATCGGTTGTGAGCAAGCTCCTTACTAATAGAGATATAATGAAAACATAAATTTGTTTAAAAACGTAAGAAATCATAAATTTGTAGAAGTCCTCCTAATTTAATCGAGCTTGAAATGGAATGACTATTAAAAATTTAAGGGTGTGTTTGATAGGTAGGAAATTCCATGAAAAATTGAATTACAATTCCATCTTTTTATTTTTTTGGTGTTTGATTGGCAAAAATTTTCTTAAAATTCATTTTCCACATTTTGATGCCACATAGACATTTTCCTTCTTTTTGAGGAAAATGGTGAGAATTCATTTTTTCGGATTACTGTAGCAATTTTTTTTCATATATATATATGAAAATAATTGTGAAAAAATATTTTCCTTTAATTTGCAATTTTCATGTAAAACAAAGCCAAACGAATATCAAAGGATAGATGATTTTCTTGAATTTTTTTTTTGGTTGGCAGTGAAAACAAATTTCATCCCCAATACCAGTAAAATCTATCCCTTTAATTGATAATTTTCATGTAAAATAAAACCAAACAATCACCAACAAATAATTTTATTTCAACATTTTCCACTTGAAAAATTATACCAATCAAACAAAGTAATTTACAATTCTCAGGAAAATAATTTCTAGGCAATTCGATTCCTTGGAATTTGTTTTTAATTCAATTCAATTCCATCTTTGCAATCAAACCGACCCTAAACATTTTTACACGGTTTACAATTGCACATTTGAATTGTTTGAATGACACCTTCTTCTTCTTGAAAATTCATTCACGGATACAAATGTGTGTTTTATTCATCTTGCAATATTGCCTAAGCCTCATGATACATCTCGATATTGAAAATATTAAGCAGTTAAATTTTGGATTTGAGCTATTCATATTGATCCTTCCAGTCCTTTAAAAATAGTAAACTATCAATGCATGATGAAATGAATGGAATATATGTTCACTAAACTACATGAGATCAAACTTTTTAATCTGATTATGGGCACTACAAGAAAAATGACATTTTACAACATGTAAATGGCAACATTCACTAGTTGTATGTTGCCAAAAGGGGTTTATTGCAACATTCAGCAAATTCATGTTGCCATTGATTAAGAAAATTAAGATTTAGCAACTTTTTTGAGTGGTTGTTGCTAATATACCCTTTCGGCAACGTTCAAAGACCATTGTAGTTTTTTTTTTTTTTTTTTTTTTTGCAACGTGCATTGACCGTTGTTGTAGATATTTTAGCAACGTTTAAAGAATGTTGCCGTTAATTATTTTTGGCAGTGTGCATTGTCCGATGCAAAAACTTGTTAACAGCAACATTCAATGAACATTGCTATTAATCAGTTTTAGCAACGTTCATTGAACGTTGCCGTTAACAAGTTTTTGAAACAGACAATGCACGTTGCTGTATATGTTTTAGCAATGTTCAATAAACGTTGCCATTAATTTGTTTTAGCAACGTTCTTTTGAACGTTGCCATTATTTGTTTTAGCAACGGTCATGTGAACGTTGCGATTAAGTATCTTTGGCAACGTTCTTTGAACGTTGTCGTTATTTTCCAAACCAAATGGATCCGACCCGACCCGATCCGATTAAAAAAAAAACCTAAAATTTCATTCAAAATCAAACACACAAGTCAGGAAACAACACAACCCTAAGATAACTTGCATCCCTCTTTCTTATGCAGCCACAGTCTCGCAGCGGCGCTGTCTCACCAAATCGTCAACATTGGTCGACGCCAGTCACCGATTTCCACCGTCAAGCGTCGCCAATATGTCTTCAATCGTCTTGGAATAGTATTGCATAGGCTGTTGAGTCGTTGATTGTCGTAAACCCTTTTACCCAAGAGGCTAACTGTTGAAGTTAACACCAAAACTTTTGGGATCATGAACCTTTAAGTCGGTGGAGAGAAGAGTTGCTAATTGATTTCTCCATATTTTTTCCAGTATCTATATTTACACTTGCCAGAAATGCTTGTGATTGCAAGACGTCCACCTCGCACGAATCTTCTCTACACGGATTCTAGTTTGTATTTTTGTTACAAGGCTATGATTGCATTTTTTTTTTATCATTTGTATCATAAAAAAAACCGGTTGATTTTTTGGGGCAATTTGCATCATGAAGGTGGTTGATTTTTTATTTTTTAATTGAAAACAACCAGCATTAAATAGTATTGAGATCAGCCTTAACCACATTGCAAATGAATTTTGCAGGCTCCCCAATCCATTCCCTGTGAGTGAAACACAAAAAAGCCTTTCTAGCAAGGGTATGGAAGCACAATTAGCAGTATGCTGAACAAAATACACAGGGAAAGAAGAAGCTATATCAGAAATGGATACTGGAAAGGTTGGTATGGTAGAAAGCTTTATGATTGTTTAATTAATTAATTAATTGATTTTTTCTTTTGGAGTTTCAATGAATTTTATCTTCGTTAATTATTTGTAATTTCAAAGAAACAATTTTAATGAAGAAATGTTTTTGTGAAAGAAACACAGTGGATTTTAGGAAAACAATAAAATAAACTTGTCTTAAAAGTTTTATTTGCACTCTTGTCGCTGTTGTTGCCATTTTGTGCGATGTTTTATTGCTGTTAGTTTGCTGGCTTTTTAACATGCTGCTTATGCAGCATATTGTTTAGTATAATCAGTTGGGGAAAAAATCTTTCAAGGAAGCCATTATTGACCTGAAATCCATCACATAAGATGTAACATTGATAATGAGCCACATATTTTCTTATGCAAAGTTTGCCTAGAATCAGGTTCTATGACTTAGTTTAATATCGCCTTTCTTATTATGCCACATTAGAGATTCCTGTTGAATTTCTTGATAATATTATATTATTCATAGTTTAAGTAGTTGTGCCATGGAGGAAGTCCAATATTTGTCTGTTTCTAAAGGTGAGTGTGAAGTTTGGCTGAGCTTATGTCATTTTCAACCTCGCTTGTTCAGTTAAAATCACGGGCCTCTTATTGTCCCTGTTTGCTATTGTGGAAGAAATAAATGAATGGAACGTGTTTCAATTGCCATTTTCTGATTTGTATTTAATTTCAATATACACGTTGAAATTTCATGCCGTAATCTTGCTCAGGGTTTGTTGATATT